TCTGTTACTGATAATGAAAGCAGCGGGATGGGGCTCTGGGGAGGGAATTCCTGGTACAGCATTAGACAAACCGCCAGCGCGGAGATTCACAGCGGCAACCCCAGCCCCACGCACGGCGCAGACAGCCCAACTCACGTCAAACGTCCCGAGGGAGGACGAAGCCAAGGCCACCCGAGACAGACTGCAGGGAGAAGAAAGGCACAGCATCATTTGCCTCCCGCAGCCCCCGGCAAGCTGCCCTGTCACCCTCGCAAACTCCTCGCCCAGATCTTGGCCCCCAGCAAACCTCCCCCTTGCACCAGCGGTGCCGAGGCTCCGGCAGCCTCCCTCCAGGAAGGGGCTGCTTCCCACCGAGAGCATTTTCTCCGTCCTGAACCAAGTTCAGCTCTTCAAACTTAAAGAGCAAAAAACCCAAACAGGTTTTAGCTCAGCTGGATTATGTCACGTTGACCCTCATCTATTTTTAAAAAGCTGTTAGTATAAACTATAGAAACATCATGCAGAGACAGCAAAGGTTCCTTCTGAAAATGCACGGGTGAGATGCAGCGTGTGGCCTTCCCAGCAGCCCAGGGACTGTCACTCTGCTGGTGGTGGCACTGGGGACCAGCAGCTGCGTTACCTTTGCAGAGCGAGGGAGAGCTGCAGCTTTTCTTCTGCAATGGCAAACTGCGCCTCCAGGCTGCTGTGCTGCAAGGGGAAAGGGAAAGGGAGTCCCCACCAGGACCCTGGTCCCCCCCAACTGCTCCAGCCCCGCAGGACCCCCCAGCCAGGCATCCTCCCCGACGGACGTCCCTGCCCGCTGTCCCGCATCTCTCGCTCCGGTGCTGGTGTGGGTTTGCTGGCTCCGGGCAAGGGCAACCACGTTCAGCCCTCGCCAGCTGCAAAAGGCTTCAACTCACAACATCCAGGACGAAGAGGGATTCGGGAGCAGAGTCTGAAGGGGAAACCCAAAACTCGGCAGTGCTGAAGAGCTGCACAAAGCTTTTGTCCGGGGTTATGGTCACCACTGGTGCTTTTGCTTCTCGCATTTCAATCACCACCGGCTGTGATGGAGGCAGCACTGTGGAAATCTGTGGAGAGTCAAAGCAAACTTTCCTTCCCGGTTCACTGCTCTGGGGGGTGCTGAGCATCAGTGACATTCACCAAAGTCAGCAGGAGTTAGTCAAGCTGGTCCATACTGCTCAATAGTATGTCCCTTAAATAATCTCATTAATAAAAGTTTTACTAATAAAATAATGAGAGCACCAGTTTGACCTTGAGGTACCCAGCATGTCCTTGTGAATGGAGAGCAGCATTATCTGCTGCCATAAGTAGCCTGAGATGACCCACAGACCAGTAGGATCAAGCAAAGTCCACCCACCTCGGGGATGAGGCCTCCAAGCATCGTGGTCACCAGTGGGGGAAGCCCAAGAACCTGTTGAGAAAGTATCACAGGACAGGGACTTGATGAACTCACTTGGGTGGTGGGGAGTTTGACATGGGAAAGGGAAGAGGTGCAGGCACATGGATCTGCCTTGAGCATGGGTGTAGATTTCTTTAGTGGTTTCTTGAGGAAAATCTCAAGCCCAAACCACCCACCATGTTATTGCTGATGTCCAGGTTGAAGGACGCCGCCAGAATAGAGAGCTCAGCACTCAGGAAGTTTGCAGACAGGATGAGCTGGGTAGCAGCATCCCTCTTCGGTGGCAGAGAAGCAAGAGATGGTTGGTCCATGGGAAGGTCAACCTCCTTTCCCTCCTTTTGGTGGAGAATGGTCTAAAGGGATCCGTAAGAAGAGCCGTGTCAGAGGGCACAGGTCCGTTTCCAGGATTTGCGTTTGGACCAGGTACAAGGTACTGCATGCTTCGCTCTGTAGTCTCAGCAACGAAATGGAGCAACAAACTCCATAGAAAATGATGAGCCGAGGAGGCGGTTGGGTGATATAATGCAACCAGCACATGTCTGCACCCCTCCCAAAGCCTCTGCTGCCCAGGAGAGCTGAGAAGGACAACGCCTCCAAGCAAATGGATGTCAGAAATGTCACCACTCCGAGGCCTGGCGCCAGGCAGCAGCACTCACCTTCAAATCCAGCTCTATGGAAGTTTCAGTCGTCACTGGGGGGTTCAGCAAAGCATACTGGAGGGTCCCAGCAGTCCCAAGAGGAATCTCGGCTGCGTGGAAACAAAGAGGGATGCTTAACCAGAAGGTGCATGCTCTGCGCCGCGGGGAGAGCGCTCACCAGCACCAAACCGCTGGTTCACCAGTGCCACGTGCCATTTACGGCTTCGGTGGGCTCCTGCCCCCCTGCAAGGCTCTGTGGTGCCAGGCTCTCCCGAGTCTGCACCGAGGAGGGGGTGGGTATTCGTGTGGCCCCCGTCGGGGTTTGTCCCGGCCTGGTCCCCGTCAGGGCTCAGCAGATTGTCTATCCTCGGTGACAGACCTGCGCTTCCCCCTTGCCAGGGGAAGGGAAGGAGATGGGTGAGGTGGGTGAATGGATGCCAACTTACAAGTCATGGCGGTGAATTTTGCGTTCACAAGGTTGAGCATTGCATCCACAGCTGGACACAGCTGTAGGGCGAGAACAAAGGTGTGAAAAACCTTGCACAGAGGCTTCTGGTGGGAGCAGAGCTTTGCGGCTGCCAGACCAGCGCAACTCCCACCCTGAAGCAACAGGACCCTCCACTATTAATTACCCAGACAAGGGCTTGCCTCAGTTTTCTCTGGCCCTGGTTGAATTAGGTTGTTCTGGAGTAAACCTGCCTTAAGCTGAGCAAAGAACAGGGCCAGACCCGCCACAGATACCTGACTAAACCAAACCAACTTTATGACACGTGTTAAGAGGCTGCAAGTCTGCCCTTTGACAAGCCTTCAGGAACAAGCGCGCTCAGCATCGAGATCAGCTCTGTCCGAGCATCGCATCCCTAACCGCGGGGCTGGGACGAGGAGGCTTTAGGCAGTGACAGTGCCTTTGCTGCGGGCGTTGACTGCATAAAACCAATAATTGCTCGAAACGCTCCCTTTTACCAGCCTGCAAGCTCCTTTGTGTGGCGAAACTGTGAAACCTGGTACAGTGCAGTGAGGAGGAGGAGGAGGAGGAGGAGGAGGAGGAGATGATCTCCGGGAAACAAGGGTGGGAGGAGGATCGGACTTACCAGACCTGGCAGCACTTTCTGAAGGGTGCTGTTCAGAAACTTGCTCATGACCTTGGGCAGCATGCTGGGCAGAGAGAACACGTCAGCCGACACAGCCGTTATGCACATAGCAATAATTATTTACTAAAGGTCAAAAGGCAAGAAAGTCAAGCGCTAAAGAAGCCTATCTGGTATGGATTAAGCTGAAATATGCCTAATAAAAGGCATTTTCTAATAAAAGACGTTTTCTCTCTTTACAAGCCTTTTCTCAAGAATGCCATCTTCTGGCTTTAAACAAAGCTAAAGGTTTCCATGCCTAAAAGAAGCTCTGATATCCCAGGAGTACAGCACTTAAATGAGGACTGATGCCAAAGATGAACATTGCATGGAATAACACAGAATTTGTCCATAAAAGATTTTGGTTTTCTTAGTGGAAAAAATGAACAGTGAAAAGTATTTTTGTTCTGTAGAAACCCACACCTGGAGACGGAAAGGTTTAACAATGCGGTTACCTACCGCTTGGGAATTATTAATATCAGCAAATCTCGGATGTTGTCCTTTGCGCTCACCTGTTGGGGAGGTTGGTTTTAACGCTAATGAGAGCGATGTGGCAGTTCTT